CACAACCAAGATAAACTGTGTTCCATAGGAAAAGTGCCTCCCAATCGTCTTTGTCAGCACGAGATAGCGATGGAAATGACTCTTTTTATTGCAGGGGGGGGGGGGGGGGGCAACTGCGTTCCATGGATGAAAAGATGTCTTAATAAATGACACACACACACACACGGACATACGTACAACCACCCTCCCCCCCCCACCCTACAACACAGAGCGAGATCAAAGAAAGTTCTGGTCCTTTGTTGGAAGGCAAGCAAAGAAAGAAATTTTCGCATGTAAAGAGACACAACCCCAGCATTGAACAGCAGCTAACAGCAGCTAACAGCGGCAGAAGACGGCGACCAACTATCGAAGATGCTCAACCCCTGAATATAACAGCCAGCCACTGACGCAGAAGATCACCACCGACGCAGAAGAAGACTCCGCAACTCATCCAGGATGGCGAGGCTCGCTGAGTAGCGACATGCTACGCCGTGCGAATTCAGCACCATCAGAAGAAGTGTCGCTCGGAAATCATTCCGCTCTGGGCATCGACTCACAAGAGCCACTGCAGTTCGAGCTAAGCTGACGAGAGTTCCAGCATCATCCGCAAGAGAGGGCGGAAAGCGCCAAACGTCGACCAAGCCTGCCATCAAGGAACGAAAGCATCGTTCATCGCCAGAGAGCCGGAGCCGGGGAGGGCGCGCAGTTGCGCCGCCAGCGCCACCGAGCAAGGGTGCCGGCTTGCCAGCGCACGAGCGACCGAGCATCTCCAGGACAGACATCATGCCGACGCAGCTCAGCATCCAGCGGCGGAGAGAACTGTCAGCTAACATCCGACGCTGAGCGATAGAGGGAACCAGCCATCGTTCGTATACCCTCCCCCACACTCACAAACCCACGACGCTCCCGGCGTCTGCTCACACAAGAATTTACCAAAGAGACAATCCAACGCACCCACACAATAAGGAGACTAATTATAAAGTGCATGAACCATCAGCTGGCCGTGAAGGCATCGCAGTTCATCGAGTGATAAGAATACGTCGTTTATAAGTACATTCATTTTTTCTTCTTATTTTGTTTTATGTGATTTTACTTTCAATCGCATAAATTACCAATAGATTCATCGATACAAACTAAACTTTTGAAACCTTCGTCACGAATCTATATGCTCACAGAGAGAATATCGTGTTAAACCTGTTTCTTTATCATATAATCTTGTCCACGAATTAATTAAAACTTAGCCAAAGATAAGAATCTCCCATAGGAGGGCATGCATCCCGTCGCACACCCTTATTCCAAGACATTTCGTTAATTATATAATCTTGCCGATGAATCTATTTATGCATACTTTTACCTTTGGGGTATAATAATTTGCTTTTATCGCCTTTCGTATGAATGTCATTGCATGAATTTTTAAGGACTTTTATTCCTATTTGCCATATATGCTTGTGTTACTCTGATGAAGTAACAATTGTTCTGGTTCCCAGTTAACAAACGTGATCATTGAGGGTTAAATGTATGGATCAATGAGGGAAACATCTCCTGGAGTACTGTGACAATTTCAAGCATAAGAATTCGCATATTAGAGTGTTAAGGTTTTGTTTAAAAATTAAAATTACTTAACACAGACGTGTTTGAGTGTTTCTTTCCTGAGTTCATGCGTAATAATCTCAATTATGAGAACTGTATCCTGCGGTGAGATTTGAATTTGGAGACCTGACATAACACACTAATACATAATCAGCGAATGTTAAAGCGAGAATAATTTGTATTATGCCGATCGATAATACGAACCTAGACAACGAAGCCGAGCTTAATCTGGCATACTTACAGCACACCTGCATAACTTTATACGATTAATTGTCTTATCCCAATTGATGATACGACCCTGGGCAACGAAGCTAAGCCTAATGATCATAACTGCCCTCATTGGCATAATCGCATACATTCACATAAATGTTTACGATTATCTCTCTGATTAGCATAATTACATAAATTAACATGCTTTCGGATACTTACGCATTTTTCCAAATTTCATTTAATTATTATTTTCATTACATTTTCAATACCCGGCATATACAACACCACCACAGTCAGTATGCAATGATGCAGTGATAGCAGGCACCACCACAGTCGGTATGCACTGCTGCAGTTATGCAGGTCCCACCACATTCAGTATATACTGCTGCAGTGATAGCAGGTAGAGTACCACCTCGATCTGTAAGCAGTGCTGCAGTGATAGCAGGTGGCCACCACAGTAGGCACTGCTGCAGTGATAGGTACCATCACAGTCGGTATGCACTTCTGCAGTGATAGCAGGTGCCACCACAGTCGATATGCACTGCTGCAGTGATAGCAGTACCACCACAGTCGGTATGCACTGCTGCAGTGATAGCAGTACCACCACAGTCGGTATGCACTGCTGCAGTGATAGCAGGTACCACCACAGTAGGAATTGCTGCAGTTATAGCAGGTACCACCAAAGTCGGTGTGCACTGCTACATTGATAGCGGGTACCACCACAGTCAGTATTCACCGCTGCAGTGATAGGTGTTACCACCACAGTAGGCACTGCTGCAGTGATAGCAGGTGCCACCACAGTCGGTATGCACTGCTGCAGTGATAGCAGTGACAGCAGGTACCACCACAGTCGGTATGCACTGCTGCATTTATGCAGGTTACACCACAGTCGGTATGCACTGCTGCAGTTATGCAGGTACCACCACATTCGGTATGGACTGCTGTATTGATAGCAGGTAGCACCACAGTCGGTATGCACTGCTGCAGTGATAGCAGATTCCACCACAGTCGTTATGCACTGCTGTTGTGATAACAGATTCCACCACAGTCGGTATGCACTGCTGCAGTTATGTAGGTACCACCACATTCGGTATGAACTGCTGTATTGTTAGCAGGTAGCATCACAGTCGGTATGCACTGCTGTAGTGATAGCAGATTCCACCACAGTCGGTATGCACTGTTGTAGTGATTGTAAATACTGCTATCGAGTAGGTACATACTACTACAGCGTTACTAGATACTAAAACAGTCGGTGTATACTACTGTAGTGATAGTAGATACTGGCAGATACTACTATAGAGTCAGGAGATAGTACTACATTCAGTAGATACCACTACGGTCAATAAAAACTGCTACAATCAGTACATCCTACTATACAGTCAGTAGATGATACTACGGTCAGTAACTACTGCTATAGAGTCAGTTGGTACTATTGTATTGTTAGTAGATATTACTCACACTAGATACTACTACTACGGTCAGTAAATACTGCTACAGTCAGTAGATTCCACTACAATCAGTATATACTGCTGTAGAGCCATTACATACGACTATAGAGTCAGTAGATACTGCTATAGTCAGCAGATACTGCTATAGAGTCAGCAAATCCTACTATAGAGTCAGTTGCTACTCCAATATAGTTAGTACTTACTACTCTAGTCAGTGGATACTACTATAGAGTCAGCAGATACTACTATAGAGTTAGTAGTTACTACTATAGAGTCGGTATATACTACTGTATGGCCAATAGATACTACTACGTTCAGTAGTTACTACTACAGTCAGTAGATACTACTGTAGGGCCAGTAGATACTACTCCCGTCAGTAGTTACTACCGTCAGTAAATACTACTATACCCTCAGTAACTACTACTGGCTCAGTAGATACTACTGGACAGTCAGCAGATACTCCTACAGAGTTGGTAGATACTACTATAGAGTCAATAGATACTACTATAGTCAGTAGTTACTACTATAGAGTCAATAGATACTACTATAGTCAGTAGTGACTCCTATAGAGTCAATAGATACTACTATAGAGTCAGTAGGTACTACTATAGAGTCAGTAGTTACTATTATAGGGTCAATAGATACTACTATAGAGTAAATTGATACTCCTTTAAAGTAATTAGATACTCCTGTAGAGCCAGATACTACTGTAAAGTCAGATACTACTATAGAGTCATTAGATACTACTCACTCTATTGAATGTAGGATGTGAAGGTATGTATGTCTATGCGGGGAGTAGAAATATTTTTTGAGGGGGTGGGGAGTCCACAATTTTAGTAAACCTTTTAGATCAACAATTTACCCCCCACTTTCTATATCTTTTTGGACTTCTGCAAGTCTCTTATTATTTTGTTGTTGGAGAAATGGACAAACTGCCCACCGGGCTTTCACAATAGCTTAGTATTTGGGCATGTATATGTTATGCTTTTAAGATAAGTTGTGAAATGTATTTTTCACCCGGGCAATGCTGGGTACTTCCCGCTAGTATTAATATATTTCTTATTTACATTGTGTTCATTACAATAAAATGTAAAAAAAATCATAACTGATACTTGTTGACTTGTTCTAACCAGTTGACGAGGAGGAGTTGTTCACTTGGTCATGCTGAACTTTAAAAATTTGTATTAAACAAATAACCTCGTATATTTGGCCTTGTACATTTTTGTTTATTCATTTTGGCAAGCAACATTGTTTAAACTTGTCTCTTTTTAATCAAACAAGAGCCCAATATGACGGGGAGAGAGAAAAACTTATCCATGTTTAAAGTTGTGTTATTCCAATTTTTGTACTGATATTTTCTTTTCTACTTTATTAATCCCATGTTTGCCAAAATATATTTTTGTTTCAATGGGGGATGCCACCTGGTTAAACTGTACAATCAAATTTTGTTAATGTTGGATGATGTTTACGACATAGTGCCCATCTCCCTCCTCGCCTTCCACAACAGATGGGACTGACGAACGACCAGATGAAGATAACCCATAAACACTCTCAATCCCTTCGTTGGAAAGCATTAAAATATATAAAGTCGATTATGGATAAAATGTAATTTTATTATTAAGCCATGGGTGTATAAAAGCCATGGTGAAATTTAGTGGTGTAATTGATTGTCATATTTACCAATTCGTTTTTTTTATTTGAATGGTCACGTTACTTTGCGCTTTCAATACGTCCAACTACCTGACCTCGAGTCACCTTCACTTTGCTCCTCAGGACCTGGTGGCCTGGGTGACGGTGGGCTTCGTGCACATCCCCCACTCGGAGGACGTCCCCAACACGGCCACGTCGGGAAATGCAGTGGGCTTCTTCTTCCGGCCATTCAACTTCTATGACGAGGACCCATCGGTGGCTTCGAGGGACGTCGTGATCCTGCGGCCAGGGCCCCTCAGCTCTGGAAAGCCTGTCGTGTCCTGGTGGACGGAGCAGAGCCCCACTGAGCCCAGCGTCTGCCTGCCCAACATTCAGCCGTTATCCTACAATGGGACGCGCACTCCCGTGTAAATGGCGCAAACACGGACACCACAAATCCATCTTGCTCATCTAGAGAAAAGAGGGTTGTTCTGGAGAAAAAAACTTTATAACCCACACCCATATATTCCGAACTAAATATAATGCATACTATTTTAAATGGAACACTTTACAAACCTCTACAGTTCAGAATTATATAATCTCACAGATAGCTGGTGTTGCAATACGTGTAAACAAAAACATTACATTCAAAGTTAAAATTCTTACAATGTCAACATTTTCAAATGTACTGTGTTACTGTAATCATGATGCATGTTTTATTCACACGTATGGACCAGATTAAAAAAAAACACATCACAACACTACTAAAAGTTAACTATAGTGCTTTCAGCTGTAAGATAATAAAGCAGTATTCACAATAACACATTCCTGCGGAGGGAGCTGGTAGGAACGTTGGGTTGCTCGGTCAATGGCCAGGGTCAACGGCACCACCACGTGATGTATTCCGCAAATATGCCCGAATGTGAGGGCGGGCACAAGCCAGCGCGAGTAGGTTAAACGTTGAGTTTTATAAGGGCACCACGGGGTGACCAGCCCCACCCCTCCCACCCCCCACCCAGCCCCTCCCCACCCTCCCCTCCCCGCCCCACCCTCCCCACCCTCCCCTTCCAGCCCCTCCCTCCCCACTCAGCCCCTCCCCACCCTCCCCTCTCCACCCAGCCCCACCCCTCCCATTTTTGGATGCACGACGGACGGACGGACACAATAATCCCCTGTAGGCTGGTGTAACCAGGAGGTTCCTACCAGTAATATTGAACTAATATGCTCAACCTGTCCCGTGCACAAAACAAACGATTATATGTCAGATATGTATCGTGTTCAATAAATTGTGCTGCAACTGCAATTTAACTGTTCTACACTACTAACCATGTGTTGAATGTAGAGTACTATATTTGATTGCATGTACTTTATGGAATATTAATAAAAGCAAATGTTACCGAATGCTTTTCGTCTGATGTGGCATTGCTATTGTTGACATATGTGTGTATGCTCATATTTGTATATGTACACAACGCCACACAATGCAGTTTCTTCACATCCAGTATGAGGTATTGTGCGCAACTCACTGCTTTTTGTCAATTATACTAACTTTTTTTTCCAACAATTTATTTTAGTTTATATTTGAGTATGAATATATCGACTATGTATTCTTTTGATACAGTGAGGGAAAAAAGTATTTGATCCCCTGCTGATTTTGTACGTTTGCCCACTGACAAAGAAATGATCACATCTCAGGAGGGATTTTGTCCTACTCCTCTTTGCAGATCTTCTCCAAGTCATTAAGGTTTCGAGGCTGACGTTTGGCAACTCGAACCTTCAGCTCCCTCCACAGATTTTCTATGGGATAAAGGTCTGGAGACTGGCCAGGCCACTCCAGGACCTTAATGTGCTTCTTCGTGAGCCACTCCTTTGTTGCCTTGGCCGTGTGTTTTGGGTCATTGTCATGCTGGAATACCCATCCACGACCCATTTTCAATGCCCTGGCTGAGGGAAGGAGGTTCTCACCCAAGATTTGACGGTACATGGCCCCGTCCATCGTCCCTTTGATGCGGTGAAGTTGTCCTGTCTCCTTAGCAGAAAAAAACCCCCAAAGCATGTTTCCACCTCAATGTTTAACGGTGGGGATGGTGTTCTTGGGGTCATAGGCAGCATTCCTCCTCCATTTTGGTTTCATCTGACCACAACACTTTCACCCAGTTGTCCTCTTAATCATTCAGATGTTCATTGGCAAACTTCAGACGGGCATGTATATGTGCTTTCTTGAGCAGGGAGACCTTGCGTGCACTGCAGGATTTCAGTCCTTCACGGCGTAGTGTGTTATCAATTGTTTTCTTGGTGACTATGGTCCCAGCTGCCTTGAGATCATTGACAAGATCCTCCCGTGTAGTTCTGTGCTGATTCATCACCGTTCTCATGATCATTGCAACTCCACGAGGTGAGATCTTGCATGGAGCCCCAGGCCGAGGGAGATTGACAGTTCTTTTGTGTTTCTTCCATTTGCGAATAATCGCACCAACTGTTGTCACCTTCTCACCAAGCTGCTTGGCAATGGTCTTGTAGCCCATTCCAGCCTTGTGTAGGTCTACAATCTTGTCCCTGATATCCTTGGAGAGCTCTTTGGTCTTGGCCATGGTGGAGAGTTTGGAATCTGATTGATTGATTGCTTCTGTGGACAGGTGTCTTTTATACAGGTAACAAGCTGAGATTAGGAGCGCTCCCTTTAAGAGTGTGCTCCTAATCTCAGCTCGTTACCTGTATAAAAGACACCTGGGAGCCAGATATATTTCTGATTGAGAGGGGTAAAATACTTATTTCCCTCATTAAAATGCAAATCCATTTATAACATTTTTGACATGCGTTTTTCTGGATTTTCCTGTTGTTATTCTGTCTCTCACTGTTCAAATAAACCTATCATTAAAATTATAGACTGATCATTTCTTTGCCAGTGGGCAAACGTACATAATCAGCAGGGGATCAAATACTTTTTCCTCACTGTATATTCCTCCATTTTGTTAAGAAATACAGAATCTCAACAAGTTTGCATGAAAGAATGTGATTATTTATTGGGCCTATTGTAAGTCAAGCTAGCTGGTGATGCCGACAAGTACTGTATTCAAACGTGATTTGATTATGAATATTCATTCCAAGTGGTAGATCTCGTAGGGGAAATTGGGGCTTCAAGCCTTGCAAAAGTATAAACTAACCAAAAAATCCCACCCATTGCACAATTGGTGCTCCAACATCACAAGGTTATTCACCACCATTGCCATGACCACAATTACTGTATAACTGCCACCACAATAATCATCAGTGATTCATTGAATAACCAACCCCCTAGACATCACAATATAGAGCAAACGCAGTGTTTCTGTGCTCAACGTAGCGATGAGGGTCACAATCCAGTGCATCAAATTTCACATTACTATCCTGAGGGTGAGTCTTCCTCTCTCCTGCTATAACCGACGATATTTACATTGTTTAAACCTTAGCAGATCAAACCAGAACTTAAAATCCATACACCGCAGGAGAGATCGTCGTGGATGATGGCTGATAATTACGAAGAATGCATCGCAAACACAATGCGTTTGAGCTAGAAGAGGGTCAAAAAGTCAACAAATATATTCACATATTAATAATTAAATGTTCGATTAAAATATACGCAATACTATTGTAGTGGGTTCTATTCAGACACACGCCAAGACTTGGCGGCAACACGTTTATTTCTTGAACAACACAACTTCCACTGGGTAACTACTTCGGGTGTTGACCACCATAGGCTAACACATAACCATTCATTAGCGAGACTATATATGGCGGTAACCACCACAGGTATCTTCGTAACCACTGGCGGGATAACTATATTCGGCGGGGACCACCACGGCTATTTCACAGCCACTGGATGGGACGTCTACCCGCTCGGATCCAGACAGCCATGTGCTGTCAGGTCCACGCTGAAGCCCGGAGATCATAGGCGTAGCCCGCTGAATCCATTCTCCGAGATGAGCCCCGAGCATATGCCTGACTCGCCTTTTATTGGCCCTGGCGTGGCCAGGCTCCGCCTTTTGCCACGCCCCCTTTCCAGATCTTTCTAGTAGAGTCAGGGCTCTGGTCATACGGCCCGTCATATGACCCCTGGCCCCCGTTATCCCCTCGTCCGGTCACGTGCCCTGCCCGAGTTCACCTGGAGTACCATGTCCTCACACGGCCTCTCCCCACTAGCACTCAGACCATGCCCCCTAGGGGCGCAACCCCTCACTTATACACGCCAGTGCTAGGGAGAGGTCCCGCACCTGCAGTACCTCCTTTCCGACAGTGCAACGCTGTAAACACACTATGTACACCACTACATCACCCCCCCCCCCCCCCCTTTGTAGAACTCAGCCGTCCCAGCTGACAAAAACACATGAGAACCAAAGTGTGTGTGCCTCAACAGGAAGAAAAAAACTGAGACAAAATATACAGTGCACGAGCAAGGCGGTGCAATAAATACACAATTTCAATCATTTACAGATTTAACCAAAGGGAAGAGGAAGGTGAAAAGAGGAGAACAAAGAACCGTGAGAAATGTACAATGGCTGGCTCCCACTTTCCCTTCCATCAGCACCCTCAATTCCCATGCTGTATGTCACCATGCATGAGCGCAAGATGGGCCAGTTTCAGCCAATAGCCCAACTGACCCCTGCATGTGAGCACTTCACAGCCGGAAAAGGGAGCTGGATAAGGGCTATGTGAAATGCAAAGTCTTTGAACGAGTTCTCGTTGCCGGCCCTTCCAGAGTTTTGGGCTTTGACTCCATGAATTAACTTGGGGGAATTGGAAGATGGCCTAAAAACAAATGATGCAAAGGGTTAAAAATTGTAGATTTAATCACAAAATGTGCGATGCGAATGCTACTGAATTGAAATAACATTCATAAACAAACAAAAACTCCCTATGTGTGCAGTGTAATGTGTTGGATTAATGTCCATCAATGTTTATCTTTCCAGCTTCAGACCTATTAACAATCTAAACATCATATCTACAGAAGGCACAATGTCAGAAATGAATTCAGCTTCAAGAAAATGGGTATTTCTTACCCTACTATTTGTTTCAATTACTATTATTCTGGCGTCAGTTTTGATTCACCAGCATGTAAATGCAAACTTTCCCAAGAAGTGCCCAAATAAATTTGTTCTAAATGGCATTAAACCCGATTACAAGGCAATAGAGATATTTTCCGACCTAACGCCAACAGAATTGACCACCGTCAAGGACTTTCTGGTGAGCGATAAGGACCTCAATATTGTTGCTTCAGAAGCCACCGTGAACAGCAACTACATCTACATGATAGAGCTCTACAACTCAGACAAAAAGGAAGCTTTGAATTACTTGGACCATGGAGGAGCCAAGCCTGCTCGAGTTGCTAAGGCAGTGGTTTTCGGCGGAGCTGACGTTCAGCCATCGATTGCAGAATATCTGATAGGCCCGCTTCCGAATCCAACCTGGTACCGGCCACACAGTCCATCAACGAGGAAACGCGTTATTAATTTTAGCTCTCGGCCAACGACAATCCCGGAATACACGGCTTTGTACACACATTTTTTACCAAAAGCTTTAGAAAAAGTGAACCATATTTTGGAGGAGAGTTATGGCTATACGTATCATAACTGTACAAAAAAATGCCTAACCGTTGGGGAAGTGGCACCAAAAGGATTGAAGTCAGGAGAAAGGCGGTCCTGGGTAATGCTTCTCCGACAATTGGAAGGGTTTTACCTGCACCCAGTAGGCTTTCACGTTTTGGTAAATCATGAAAGCTCAAACATTGCAAAATGGGCAGTGGAGAATGTTTACTACCATGGCCAATATTTTTTAAGCATCGAAGAGCTAATCACAAAATATGACAAAGGTTCCATTATTAAGATGAAGCTGAGTGACAGCAGTAGAAAATCATCGGGATATAATCATCACGGAGCCTTCAGAGCAGACACGTCTTTTATAGGACCGCAGCAGTACGAGCCCATGGGCCACCGGTACCGGGTTGACGGGAACTTTGTGCAGTACATGCCCTGGACGTTCGCTTTCAGAATCTCTTACATGGGGCTTCAGATATTTGACATCAATCTTGATTTGAAGCTTTCGTCACTGCAGGAATCCATACTCTTTGGTTCTTTCGGTAAAGTCACATAGGTATAAAATAAAATAAATCACGACGTTTCGGGCGCAACACAAGCGTCCGTCATCAGGTGGGAAAGCATGGTCTGCTGCTGAGGCAGACTGTTTATAAAGGTTTGAAATGGGTGTAGCCCAAGGGTCATAAAGAAGTGGCTGGGGCTAGTGATGTTAATGTGAGAAATTAGCATGTAACTGTCAGATAGGAGAGCGGCCTCCTCGACAAGGGCACGGAAGTGGCTATGTTAATGTGAGAGATTAGCATGATGTTAATGTTAGAAATTGGCATGTAACTGTAAGATACGAGAGCGGCCTCCTCGACAAGGGCACAGAAGTGGCTATGTCAATGAGTGCAACCCAATAGGTGCAATCCAAAGTGCATGTGAGTATGAGAGTGCAATACAAAGGACATGTGAGCATGAGAATGCAATCCAAAGGCATGGGAGTGCAATGCAAAGGACATGAGAGATCTAAGAGAGAGGCATAGAGAGAGACACACAGAGAGTCGGAAATAACAGCTGACATAGGCAGGTAGGATGGAAACACAGTCAGCTAAGACTTTACCTGGTTAATAACGTTCTTCCAATGTTTGCTCAGTTTGTACCCATCCTCACGGTTGAAGTTGTGTCTGTGTTTATATATCTGGATGGCTTCGTGAACAAATCTCTGAAGGTAGCCGGTAGGTTTGCAGAGTACCTCTGTCTTGGAAAAATCAATTTAATGTGAGCCCACAGCGTTAAAACAATGATCGGCAACGGCAGAGTTATTGGTTCTACCGTGTTTCAGATCTGCCTTGTGTTCACGAACGTGGTCCCGAGACATGTCGTTTCATTCCCCCAATGTAACTGCTGCCGCAACCACAACTCAGTTTGTAGACACCAGGGTATTGCATGTCAGGAATCACATCCTTTACTGATGGGATTAAATCACGGATTTTGTGTATTGTGTTGAAATGAACCTGCAGAATTGTCTATGAGATGGGCCTCCAAGATGCCGTCTCATACTATACTGGCAACGATCCGATCGGGAGCTTATTTAGAGCCATAGACTCAGGTTTGCACTTTGGTGCTGACAATTTTTAGCTTGTGAAGGGGATCGACTGCCCGCACACTGCCACATACCTGGACACGTACCACTTTGTGAACTCGGAGAAGCCGCTGAAAAACCTGAACTCCATCTGCATTTTCGAGCACAACACATGAGTGCCATTGCGTCGACACTTGGAGGACGAACACCGGAGAGGCTACTCGTTCTGTGGTGGCTTGGTCAACTATGTACTCGTGATTAGGAGTGTCAACACAGTGTACAACTACGATTACGTCGTGGACTATATTTTCTACCAGAATGGAGTCATTGAAGCAAAGATTCACCCCACTGGGAACCTCGTGGCGATGGATTTCCTTGATGGACTCAAGTATGGCAACAAAATATTTGACCACGTCCTTGGCAATGTGCACACGCACATGATAAACTACAAACTGGACATGGATATAGTGGGTGAGTTTATTTTCATCAATATTATCCATGCATGTATTGTTTTACAAAACTGCTCATGTAGCTTTAATCCATGATTGTTCATATATTGAAAGTGATTAAAGGGCATTTACGTTAGAACAGCATTGTATTGTCACTTGTTGTTCTGAACAATTATTCTATTTTCTATAGAGTCCCTTTAAAATGTATAATGTAGATAGAGTAAATCTTATCCACAACCCTCTTATCCGCAAATCCTATTATCAGCAGCCCAACATTAAATTCACACAAACTACTTTTGTACGTCGGTCAACTCTTTAATTTATCTGTACGGAAAATAGGATCTACCCGTTAGAGGTTGTGATGAGAACTAATTGCATTATATCCCAGTATTTTTTTATGGATAGGAGGAACGTGAAAGTGGTTGCTGGCAGGTGCTAAACACATCCTAATATCTACGATGTCCTATGGATGAGAGAATAATGATGATGTAAATGCCAACAATGATGATTATTTTCATGCTGATCTAGATGATAATGGATAGTAGGGCATTAAACAAAGCAGTCCAAAATCAAAGTTTGCCAGCAGTTCATGATGTTGCCCATGCACCGTTATCCAAAGTGTTTGAAGGCAGTGAAAATGTGTAGGTATTCGAGGAATGTCTGCAGTTGAGGAAGTAATGTGCATAATACAGGGGTTGTGATAAGGGGGTCAATTAATGTGTTAACAGGGCAAATGGCAGTATTTATGTATTTCACAAAATTTCAGTATTCATGGATTTCACAAACCACTTTGGGTGAGTAGTGAGCTTAATTTAATGTAATTGTTGCAAGAAAGGTGCTTAAAGCAAAAGTTATGGCTTTTTTACGGTACAAGTCGTAGAGATGGACTTCAACTAATTGCAAAACAAGTGATAGCATTAACCATGATGATCTCTCGCTCTCTCTCTTGATGTAGTTCGATCTTGTTTCCCCCCAAATGTTTCTAATATTGCTTTAATATCATGAGATGAAGGATCCATTATACAATTCTGCAGACGCAGTGGACCCCGTGTGTTAGAGAGTTGCTAAGTAAGATATTTAGTTTTACAGGCCTTCTCTATATTTGAAGGGCCCTTGTTACCCTGTACGCAGTAGGGGTCGCACTTTCTCATAATCCTGCTATGCCTTTGTCGCCTCAAAGTTAAACTGATCATTTAAATTCTCAGAACTAGAAACGAACTAGATTTCAACTCAGGATCTAAGCAGTGTTGATTCAGTACTCAGTTCTCTGAGCCACCTCAAATGTTATTCTATCCTGAATGCATGTAGTATTTTTTTTAAAGAAAAAAATATACTTTACCTTTTAACACTTACACCTGGTTTCCTCCCAATATATATTGGTCTTCTGTAAAGAACAAATAGATTAAGTGGTGAATATTGAATAGCACCATGAGTATACATTAACTTAACTTCAGAGTACACGGCAACGCCTCTTCAAATAAAAAAAAAGAGATCACCATCACACGTCACTGTTTATGCAGTATACTGTATATAGAAGCTTACCGTTTGTCCCACAGGCACAAGCAACAGCTTTAAGACTGTGAACCTGCAGCTCGAGAACACGACCGTCGTTTGGAGCCCAGAGCACGCCAAGGTCATGCCCAGCGTGAAGCATGACCTCAAGAAGACAGAGTCGGAGGCAGCCTTCAAGTTCAACGTCAGACTTCCATACCTGGTGTTCATGAACGAGAACGTCAGAAACAAGTTGGGCGCCCAGCGTGGTTATCGCGTGCAGTTCACGAGCCACGGAAACCCCCTGTTGCCAGAGGAGGAGAATGGCGTTGCATGGAGCAGGTATAGATATAAAAAAAATCAAAACACATTTGAGTCATCGTGATCATCAGCCATGATTAATCGACCGCCGAGGTGAAGGTTTTTCAACGGTTTTACTTAACATGACTCCTGTGTCGTGGTCAAATCGTAATCAAAATTTAGTCTACTTCCTGTTATGCAATCAATAAAAAAATTTGCACACGTTTCGTATTTCCCCGCATATAGCCCGCATACGCATATAACCCACAGACGCATATACCCCGCAAAAATAACGTTTTGTGTAAAACAAATTTGAGATAGCCCGCACCTCCATATACCCATCATATTAATACAAAGTTTACATTTGTAATGCATTCCACTATCAATTGTTACCATTTAAATCATAACGTGCACAAAGAAAACAAACTAACCGGAAACGAGTGAACTTAAAACAGTAAATAAGTAACAAAAAGTAAATATCCTTTTAAAAAAAAGTAACACATAACTGGTAGATAAGTAAGTAAGCTTACCAGCATTCAACCTCATCATATTACAGCTACTGGGCCGGTAGTTGGCCCTGTGCAGTTTTAGCTCAGCCAACACCGTCCCGCGACGAGGAGAGAGACCCTCTTCCAGCCGCTTCTCACCCTGGCTCCCTACGACCAGGCCTTTGTCACGGGATCCGCCTTAAGTACCACATTTGGCAGCTCCTCCCTCTAGCTCGGACAAGCCTTTGTTCCCAAAGGTACCTCTTACACCTCCCGTGATATTACATCATCGCTGACTGTGAGCCCGCTCGCACCTCCCTCTATTCACCCCCTCACTGGTTACTCACAATACTCCTCTACACATGTGTAGTGTGTTGTACGGAGGCACACACTGTAGTTGGAGGCAACATGTTTATTACAACACCCCAACAGGGTTGCTACATAAACGTACACTGGTTCCACATCGAGGTGATAACTACATGGTTAACTAGACCATAACAAAAGGTAACTACATATCCGGGTTAGTCAGTAACACACTGCCTGACCCACGATGCCGAGCGTAATATCGAAGACCAAGGACCGAGGATTGAAGAGACGTAGCACCGACGGGTTCCATTCCAACAGAGAGCCAAGAACCCTCTTGGGACTGCCCCTTTATGCTTCTGAGAATGGCCTGGCTCCGCCCCCGGCCACGCTCCCTTCTCGATCCTACTAGAAGGCTCTGGGCCATATCACGTGTCCCTCGAGCCCCCTTTCGGGCCCCCTTGCTACCCTGCCCCGGTCACGTGCCCTCTCGGGTTCACACAAAGTATCACGTCCTCACTTGCTCTTTCTCCAACCCTCACCAGAACTATGCTCCCTAGGGCCCGCTTCCATGCCATATCCACTCTGGTGCCAGTCTCAAGAAGTACAGTTCCACTCTTGTGACAGTAGCTGGCGCTAAACACCATAGTGACTCCATATAAGTCACTACACATGCATCAGATGATGTGTTTAACAATATATGTAACGCTCATATATTGTGTGTTATCAGCAAATCAGAGGTCTGGTTAATCTTATCACCATTTAAATGTATGCCTTTGTTTCTCTGATGAAATAAGCTCATGTACAGGCGCTACAGTAGATGGGTTATCCCATCGCGGGAACATAAGAGAGAGGGTAGATGATGGCTGATGATTATGGTAGTTGACGTGTCAGGTATGTCCGTATGTGCTGAAACTAGTGACGTTCCTTCAACGTTGCTCCTGTAATTACCATTGTTTGCATACCTCTCATTTCTGCCAAAGGTATCAGGTGGCGGTAACAAAACGGAAGGAGACAGAGCTGTACAGTGGAAGTATCTACAATCAACATGACCCGTGGGATCCTGCCGTTTACTCTCAGAACTTCATGAATGACAATGAGAACATTGTCAATCAGGTTGCTTCCATTAGATTTAGATTCTTACTTAAATTACCTTCACAAACACATCTCATTTGCATTGGCAGCTTGTACCCACCCACACTTTACACCACCACACGTGACCTGCCGCTGATCAATTGTTTTACCATTTATACGGCTGGGCGGACAGATTCGGATTTTTGAAAAAGGTAAAACATGACCACGTAAAA